TAAATAAAAAAAAAACATTAATCATGAAACATTCAACCAAATTGACGATTAATCTCTAACACAAAATACAAATACAACAATAATTATATAATTACAACCACCTAAAAGTCTAACAATAATAAAATATAATTTTTTAAATATTCATTCTTACAATTACAATTTACAACCCTTCAATCATTAAAAAGTCTAAAATTAATAATCACTAACACTAAAATCATCAACAATGACAATCATAATTCATAAATGCTAAGCAACAATCAGACAAATGAATAACAGCAAATAATGGAAGGTTAAAATAATTAGGGCACAATTAACTTAAAAGAATACTTAATCCTCTAAGTTTGAACTTACAATTAAGGCCCTCTATTTGAAGTGTTTAATTGCCTTGCCCTCCATTGCCTTGCTTTTTTAATTTTTAAGTTGAATTTTTTAATTTTTATTTAGTTTTACAATTTTTTAAAAATAAAAACAAAAAAGTGACCTGGTTGAGCTAGCAACCGGGTTGGGTTATCTTGGGTCACACCAAGTCAATGGCTGACCGATTTAAATGGAAATCCAAATCGGGAAAGAGACCGAGTCATTAGTTCACAGGTTGAACCGGCCAGTCAGGTCTGAGTTTCCATACAATATAAAAAGCAAACCTGTATACAAACTTAGGCCTAAGCTTTAAGGCTTCTATTACAGGCTGAGGCTTATTTGATCAAAACCTAACTTAACCTAGCCTATTTTCACCACTACTCACTTTGTTGGCAAAAGACAAACCATGAAAAAGATATAAATAATGCATCTCTGTTTGAGTCTCTCTCTCTCTCTCTCCCCCTCTCTCACACACACACACACTGCCAAATTCTCTACTGAAAATCACACACACACACAGAAAATCACAGAGAGAGAGACAGAGAGAGAGATATATATATATATATTATAATATATTCATAAAAAGCAACATACAGAGATATATATATTATAATTTATTCATAAAAAGCAACATATAGAAACAAACCTCTTCAACAAATAAAAACCAAACCTTTACCTCTAAAACATCAACTTCACCACCTTCAATGGCGAAGAAGCAAGGTAAGCCCTAAATCTAAGCCTGAAAAGCAGAACAATTTTTGCTGCTTCAACATCTTCCTTGACGCATTCGAGGTAGAAATCATTGTTTCAAACAATAGTATCAATGCCACGAGGAACAATAACAACAACCCCAATCTCCTACTCGACTGGAAGTCAGAAAACTGGGGAGGGAGATGGATTTAGGAAAAATAAACTCCATGGTTAAAAGGCACTCTGAAAAGAAAGAACACACAACTAGCTCAATCGGTGTGAGAATTGGGGAGGAAGATAGATTTGGTACAGTAAAACAATGTAATTTTGGTTAATGAATTGTTTCTTACAGTTGGCTCAATGGAGGGCTAATATTAGGCTCATCAGAAAAGGTAGTAGAGAAGGCACAATAGATAGGAGAGGAATCTCTCCATTTCGCTCCACTTCCCCCATATTAACCATTTGTATTATTTTATTGAATAAATTTTAAAAAATATAAATTTTTTTAAAATTATAGAATTAGTGAATGGTTGAGATAGGAGAAATGAAGAAAAATAAAGAGACTCTCCACCCAACAGCGGACACCCTTTGCCCATGTATGTAGGCCTTATTGTGTCAGTGCTAGCTAGACGATCTATTATAATTGAGATTTTTTTTCGAAAAAAAAAATAAAGATCTGGTTTTGAACCTATATGCCTCAATTCGTTGGATGCAAAATCTGCTTTAGTGAAAGTAATAGATGTTGATTCTGTCTCGATGTTTATGTTTTGTTGAAATTTTTAAACAGTGGTGTTCTATTCTAATGAGAGTGTCAATTCCTTGCCGTCTCGGAATGATGATTCTATCATATAAGAGATGGAATGGCTATGATTATTCCTACAAGAAAATCTAAAATATTGGTCTCTTACAAAGTTTTTACCAATGCTTGTTTCCTTTAAACTGAATTTGTATTCTCATGAAGTACATTATATATAATACTTGCATTTTAGAAAATTGTAGCGACGTGCTCTAACAATTGACACTTGATTAATTAAAAGTCAGGCTTTAAGCAGAAATTGAGGGTTAGACCTCTGGCATATTTTGGTCTACATTACTAATTAAAAAATATATATATTGATACTTCAATTTATCATAAATATATATATACTTATTTATTTAATTTTAATAAGTCAAAAGAACTGTGCCCAAAAAAGAAAGTAAGAGGCACAGAAGATAAAACTTAATTTTAATAAGTTTTTTAATTTTTTTTAAACGTTGCTACTAAAGTCCTAGATCTTGGATGAGAACTCAACATTTTAATATTGACGGGAAAAAACATAATCTAATTTTCACTAAAAACGCTTTCCCTTTGACTTTTTTTTTATATAGATTTGAATTTGGTGAGTGACTTAATCAAGTCTACTTATACATTGAGTGTCTTGATTATAATCATGAATTTCGCCAATATTTAAAAATTATTAAGATAAATTTTCCTCAAAAAATTGAAAAGAATCCTCAAGATCCAAGTACACTCTTCACATATATTCTTCTTTTCAAAAATTTGAGATTTAGTATTTTTTGAATATTATATGATAAAATATTTTACAACCATTCGCTTTTAATCTAATGGTTGCTATTCTTACCACTACCAAAAAAAAAAAAACAGAGAGAAAGTCATCGTTTGATCTTCTATGATGACAATCAAAGTCATAGCTAAAAGCAACTTTTTGCAGCGATAATATAAAGTCACTATTAATTATCAAACTTTCAGTGGCAACAAATGCATATGACGGTCGAAAGTTAAAGTTTCAATAATAATTTGTATATTGCCACTAAAAGTTTACAATTAGTGACGATTTTTCAGATTCGTCGTAGAAAGTGTCACTTTTAGTTACAACTTTGACTATCATCGATGAAAGTTTGACTTTCATGACAATTAAATATCATTAATTTTTTATTTAACATATTTTATAATTTTTTGTTTAATCCTATATTTAACATTTTAAGACATTAAATTTGTTGTATTATTGTAAATTTTATGATGAATATATAAAATAAGGAAATGAGTTTTTATTTAATATATTTTATGGTTAAATTGATTCTTCAAAATAATGAAATTATTTTAAGATAAAATTAAAGTATTATTTAATGCTAATGAGTTAGACTAAAGAATCAAGCCAAACTATATTATTTTAGGTTAATTTTTGTTATCAAGTATAATGTTTGGCTTGATTTGTCTAACTATTTAGGCTAGTTTAATTTATTAGTTTTAGTCAATTAATACTGAATCTAACTGAATTGACCAATGCACACTCCCATATAAAGTAATAAATTCATTCAAAAACCTATTATTTGATATTTTAATTTGGAATGCATATAATGTTGTACTGACTCTCTATTTTCAAATGTTTTATAATTAAATTGATATTTTAAATTATAACACTACTTGTCTATAATAATTAGACATGTGGAAATTAAATTTATTAAAACATAGAATAATATTTCAACTAATCTAATTTTTTAGTTCAAATTCAACATTTAATACCGGTAACTTTGATAGGGAAGATGAAGATGAAAAGAAGAGAAATAAATATTCTAAAATTTACTTTTAATTTTTAGAATATATAAAATACATCCATTAATGTGATGCTATATTATTTAAAATTTATTGTTAATTAAAAGTAAAAAAATTCAAATTAAAAATTTCTATAAAATAAATAATTATAATCGAATATTTACTCATCTATATTACTATTATTTATTCTTGGATATTTTTTATATTATAATTATAAATATGAATATTAAAATAAATAATAAATAACCTGAAGAAGTACAGAAAATTAAAATAAATAATATAAATGATATTGTATCAATTATATTTATAGTTTACTTTAGACAAAATAAATAATATAATTCAAAATTTTAATAAATTAAAATAATTAAATTGAAGTGTTTAATTATATTAATAATATTTTATAATATTTAATATTTAAGATACATATGTGTTTGTTTAATTTAATAATATATATATATATATATTTAATTATGCAATAATAGGTTGCAGGTTCACTTCGATTCAGTGGCAAAATAGTGAGACATAAATGAAGAAGGTCATGAGTTTGAATCATAAATGAGGCAATTTGTGAAACCAATGATGTTTTTATCACCACTGAAAATCAATTTTTTTATAGTATACATAAGACATTTATTGAATAAATGAACTTAGGCCATTTATCGAATCTAAGTCCCTTTCATATAAAGTAATAAAAGAAATATCTAAAATCAAGGTTAAGCTGATCAAAGAAATATTTTTGCTAGGAGAACATAATGGTCACTTCGAGGCAATGGCTAAGAATAAAAGAAATTTTAAAATATAATTAATTATTTAATTTTTATACTTTTGACTTAATTATAATTCAATTATTAAACTTGAATTTAGTAGAATCAGTTTATATAGTTTGTCTCAATTGTAACCCACTCCTTGAACTTTAATTCATTGCAACCTAGTACCTATAATTTTAACCATTTAAAATATAGTATCTAAACTTTAATAATAACTTTATTTTTTATAATTTTTTTAAATGTAGGGATCAACATTTTAAATAAATGAAATATATAAGAATTGAATTGTATTGAGTCAAAATTCAATTACTAAATTTTAACCTAACCAAAACTATATGAGGAACAAAAGTTTCCCAAACACACATCCATATACTAGGTTACGTTACTCGAGGCAATGAAGGAGATAGAGCAGCATTAATAATTAAAGCTGGACAACTATGTGATTCATGCATGGTCATCGAGATTTTGAAATATAGTAAGTTATAAATAATGCAATTACTATGTTCATTCTATAGGTTTCCTCAATAATAATGAGTAAATTTGGTTAAAAGATAAGAAATTTTAAATTTAATTTTAGAAAATTGATCAACTATGGGACAACAAGGGCAGAAATATTACTAACCCAAGCAAATTGAAATAATTATCTAATGAAGTACACAAATGGATGGTGAAGTGTTCAATTTTTTGGTCACTGATGACATATACGGAGAAATGCATAGACGTGAATTAGAAATGAAAAATCGTTGAAATGTTTTTGGGACCTCTCATACGCTATCCAACAATTGCAAGTCTTCCCCTACAAGTGAAGAAACTAATTCAGGATGAGAACGTGGCAGTTGTCTTCGAGAAAGAAACATCTCTGTACCCTTACGAATCAGATAATGGGCAAGAGGAAAGGTAAAGAAGAAACACAATGTAATAAGAAGAGTGACAACCGCAAGAGCCATGGAAAGACCCAAGATGGCGTATGTGCCTGTTCCAAATGCAACTATCATGAATACCATTCCCAACGTTGTCAGCCCCAAGGCTGCCGATACATGATATTCACCCATGGTTGCACTGAAAAAGTCTGTTCTTCCCGCAAAAAATGATGAGAAGATCTGCACAAGGACAGCAGAAGCAGAGAGAACAAAGGAGAGAGAGTCTGTTATCACAAATGCCTTAAAAGCTGCATTGTGCATCAATATGGGAGAGCCCTTGTTTTGACCATCTTGCATGGTACCCCCAGGCACCGTAAATCCTGCTGCAAATGTTACTGTTGCTATCAGTGTGGCCACCACAAGCGAGGTTTCTCTCACTCTGCTCAACGTTTCTAAGTTCTCTTTTTCCTTGTTCTCTAGTTTCTGCTCCTCAATTACCTTTGAATCATGTCTCTTCTGTTTCTTCTTCTCTTTAATATCCCCATTTAAAACTCTCCCACCAAACCCTGCACTAATTTTGTGAAGTTGTCCCAAGAAAAAATTCTGCAACATGTAACAAGTATTTATCATTCCCATTTTGAAAAAGAGAATCACCTATTAATTATTTAATAATGAAATGCATTTTACATTGTATAATCAACAAATTCATATATTGTGTTTATTGATTTTTATTAGTAATTAGCTAGATATTGTCATTACTTCTTTACCTGTTCTTGTGAAGTTGAAGGAACAACATCATAAGCAACATCAAAAGCAGTTTGGTTCTTTTTATTAAATGCTATCGAGTCCACTCCTCGGTGTTTTTTCAGAAGAGGATGATCATTATAGTATAGATCCCATGTGGGAGCATGACAGGCAAGGAGATGAAGGGGTGTGTTGCCATCATTGTCTTTCTCATTCTGCATGTTCATCAGTTGTTCTTTCAGAATCCCATTTGCAACCCACGATGAACGTAGAATGCCTTTCTCATCAAGACCTGCATAATGAAGAGCATTGCGGCCCTTGTGATCTACCAACTCAAAACAATCTGGACAATATTCTAGTATCTTTTTTATGACACTATCATTCCCACAATATGCAGCAAAGTGAAGAGCTGTCCTTCCCTCGTTATCTCTCATGTATGCTGTGTTTCTATCTTGCTTTAGCAACACCTCTGCCACGTCATCAGCACGCCATGTCTCTAATGCTGCTAAGTGAAGTGGCACCCAACCATTTTCATCTGCTTCTTTTATTGCTGATGGTATTTTCAACACCAACTTCTTTAATGTTTCTGTAACACCAATTCATCAACCTTTATTAACTTCTTTTTTTTTTTAAATCAAATTAAGTATCTTTCAATTGCAATTGCTTATTAAAAGCATGCCTATCATACTTCAATTTTTATCAAGATTTAATTTCATGACCACTACCACAACATTCCCTTTAAATTATTTCCCAAAAAAAAAAAGATATGTACTTGTCATTAACTTTTTGGGATATTGTAATTTTTAGTTTTTCAAGTTTGTCTCAATTATTGATTTAGTCCTTTAAGTTTAATTTTTATTTATTTAATCTCTTAAATTTACTTCAATTAGCGATTTGCTTCTTATTGTTTAAAAACGAGGTCCATTGTTAAAATTTACTAATATGAATAACAAAATATTAATAGAAACCATGCAAATCAATGGAAAGAAAACTATGATTAGTTAGGTAGGAAAAAATAGACTTTAAAATTTTAAAAACAAGAAGACAAAACACAATATAAAGGATTATATTGATAAAAATTAAACGAATCTAAGGGTTAATTTTTCTTATTGAGTTGCATATATATACCAAGCCGTTAATAATATACTTTGCATATTAGATTATTTTGAGAGTCAATTTATTTTAAAAAATAAAAAAACTCATACAATAATTTAAGAAAATATAAGAAATTGAATTAATAAAAACTAAATTTGAAAAACTAAATAGATAATTGAAACAAACTTAAGGAATTAAAAATTACATTATCCTTAATTTTTATAACAAAAGTGAAATTTTTGTATGCATCCATAGATCATTGATATTAACAATCAAATAAACATTTAATTATTATAAATGACAAAGTGTAAAAAAAAGCATATAATGTATATATACCTAGTTTTCCCAACTTCTCAAAATGAACAATAGCCGCATGTAATGTTGTTCTGCCATTGGGGCCTCTATGATTTGGTGAATTGCTTTTCTCCAATATTGTATGTATTACTTCATTGTAGCCTCTCTCAGCAGCAATATAAAGTGGGGTCTCCCCATCATTATTTTCTCCAATATTTGGGTCTTCCTTTATCAACAACTCTACTACTTCTTTGTGATTATAATATACTGCTTCATGTAGAGCTGTGTCCTTTTTATTGTTTGTGGCCTTTATAAGTGTTTCCTTTCCATCTTCACTAGGAGCATCTTTATTAGCACATTCAATAATTATTTTCACAATTTCAAGATGTCCATACTTGGATGCTATATGAAGGATAGTTTCATGCTTAGCATTGACCTTCTTCAAAAGTGCATGACACATATTTAAAATCTTACTCACAAATGCCTCTGACACCTTATCACATGTCAAGTGAATATGAAGGATTGTATTTTTATTTGGAGTGAGCATGGACTCAATTTGGTAAGATGACTTTACCCTAAACACATCAATTTCACCAGCCACAGCAGCTCTATAGAATTCAGGTTCCATACCTGTGATAAACTTCTATATAATTATTTTCAGTATAATATAAAAAAATCATAAAGACTGGAATTTAGAATGAAGTTGGGCTTCTTCATGCTATATGAAACTGATTCTCCCTCAGCCAAAACTTCTTGATTTTCGATTGTCACTGGCAAAACAGCCACAACTTTTACAGCTTACAATATAATAATTAAATAGCAACCAATTTCTTGATAATTAATATAATATTTTTCATACATATGTTTTTCAGAATAAAAGAAGTTCAAGCAGGAATAAGAACTTGATCTCACTTGTTAACTCAAGCTATTAGTGCCTGCCCCTTTAATTTAGGGAAAAAAACTCAAGTTTCATACCTATAATTAAGATAATCCATCTTCTTAAATATGGGTTTAAATATTAGGGTCAAAGAATGAATATTAACACACCCTTTTTCCCTTGTTTTGCTCTTTTTTCTACATGGTCACGGATATACACTTGTTGGAGTACACATCAATTAGAATTTAGAATAAAGTATAAATAGTTAAAATTATGGGACTAAGTTTCAATCAAATCAAAGCTATAAGAGTGAGTTACAACTCAATCAAATCTATAAAATCAAATGATTTAATCTAAGTCACCCATGCGAGACACATATAATACCATCCCCTAATTAACTAATGTCAATACAATATAAAATTCTGCTGCTACTTTAATTTATCAATTTCTTTAGAAAAATGTGTCGTGGCAGTTTTCAGAGAGAGGCATCTACATATAATATAAAAAAAAAAAGACAAGAAAAGAATCCATGCATGATACCGATCAAGAAAAGAATTCATGCATGATGAGAAAGAAAGTTCATTGCTTATGTAAGGAGAGAAAAGAAAAGAACAAAACAAAATAAAATGAGAAAGAAAAGAACTCTTTAGATTATTCTTTTTTTTATTTAAGAACAACTGTGAAAATATCACAGGGTTAATTACTTAATTAAAAGATCATGTAATAAGGAAGGAGAAAGATAAAAATTAAAAAGACTATTTCACTTTACTATTTTACTCCTAGGGATCAGGATTTCTACTCTAGAAGATTTAAAAAAGCAAAGAAGCTTATGGATGTCTTGCATATAAAATCTTGTTTGCTTGGGATATATGAATAGAGACCAGAGCTATATCCGAAAAAACCAGATGCCCCGTGCTCTTGATCCTTGTATCGGTAATTTTCTTGATAGCTTGATGCAAGTATTGGAATTGGGTGTGTTAACGAGATGGGACAGGATGGAACTGGGACGACACCCTTGTCTCATGTCCCATACCAAAAAATGATTGAGACTGAAATTTTGTCTCGTGTCTTGTCACGTTCCAAAAGCCATCATGTCCCGTTATGAATCGGGACAGGACTAGGATGATATTAGGACGTCCCGCCATCTAGATATGGTGGACAATATAAGAAAAAGGTCTAAATAATGACATTCATTAATATCTCAAATCACATAACTTATGAAGTTTATAAAACTAAAATAACACGAGTACATATACTTACAACAATTTAAAATCAATTCTTAAATTATATCAATTACAACTACAAGTATACATAAAATATAATACATTGTGACAACAATTATAAGTGATCTCCAAGTTATAAGAGTCACAACAATAGATAAGCCAAGCACAACATTAAGTCATTACTCTTCTTCTTTAGTTGAGATATTTGAAGCTAGTGACTCTTTTGAAAATAAAGTAAGAAATACGATATAAAAAAAATTATTAAATAGATATATATAATTAATATATTGTTAGAAAAGAGATTACCTGTAAAATCAAAGAAAAGAGATTACCTTGTATTGCTTGCTCTGTGTCATTAAAATTATCAACATCAAGAACTTTTAGTTTTAAATAAGAATTGCAAATGTTGAAACTATAACTAATATAATAATACATTATATTAATTTAATTAATATATTTAATATATATTTTTAAAATAAAAAATCATATATATATACACACATAAAATATGATCGGGATGAAATCAGGCAAATTGGGATGAGCAGAAGTAGGAGTGAGCATTCATAGGGCCGTGTCCTTCTTATCATTTGTAGCCTTTATAAATATTTCCTTATATGTTTTATTAACATGTTCAATAATTATTTTCACTATTTCGATATGTCCATACCTAGCTGCTCTATGAAGGATGGTTTCATCCTTGGCGTTGGCCTTCATCAAAACTGCCGGACACAGCTAAAATCTCATGCACAAATGCCTTCAATACCTCATAACACATCAAGTGAATATGAAGGATTGTGTTTTTATTTGGAGTTAGCATGGATTCAATTTGGTCAAACTTTCCCTCAAAGGCATCAATTTCACCAGCCACAGCAGCTCTATAGAATCGAAGTTCCATACCTGTAATTGTGACAGTTCTACAGTTATTGTGCGCAAAAACAAGTTCCATTGAAGTGATCAGCTGGGAGGTTTCCGGCATGCTGAAAACCAAAAAAACCAGAATTTAGAATTGTTTGGACCACCAAAATTTACAATGAAGTGGGACTCCTTCTGGTTATGTGAAAATGATTCTAATTCAGTCAAAATCTGAATTATAGCCATACATTGCTAGTGTAGTTTACAATAGCACCCAAATTCTTGATAATGTAGTTTTCATATGTTTTTCCATTTTAAAAAAAAAAGTTCAAACAAGAACATAAGTAGGAGAAATTGAATAACGAAAAGTAGTAGTCCAATTCTTTCACCAAATTTTAGCACGAGATTTTTTAATAATGAAAAATACACATGAATAAAATTTCAATATTTTGTAAAATCATCACTAATTAAAAAAATTAAAAAATCACAAGTATATCAAGATTTGATTGGAGAACTGGACTGAATGGATATAACATGAAAAATAAAAGTGAAGGTAAAATATATAAACACAGTTAATATGACAACAAAGAAAGAGATCAAATGGAGTGTGGGACGAACAGCAAAATATAGTGGTTGCACCTTGAAAGTTGTCTTGTCGCCAACACAATTATTGAATATACACAATTGGCAAATATTAAGAAACTTAAATTTTTGGAAAATTAAATGATGGGATACTCTAATTTTGCCAAATTTTAAAATCAGCTGACATACTTCAAAAGTTTTAATCAACGCCCATATATTTTCCCTGTTAAATCCATTGCTCTCTGGATTTAGTCACTTAAGGTGCTTTTAGACTTTTGTTAACTACATCTTTTACACGATGCATGAATATTTTAATAAATTAAATCCAAAAACATTTATACTTGACTTTTAAAAATTAATAAATGAATATCTAAATTCTATTAATCAATAAGAGACTAATCAAAAAAATTGAAAATTTATGGGCCTGTTTGAAACTATTTTTATTTTATTATTCTAAGAACTGGTGTTTTGTAGAATATGTTTTAAGAAAAAAATATTGAAAATAGGTGTTTTTTTATTCTCTCTTGTTCTCCAGAATAATAATCCCAAAACACCTAAAAGATGTTTCCATTTCTTTGTTCTCTAAAATAATATTTTATTAGTTTATTTTCCAAAATACTTTTTGAAAATACATTACCAAGTATATTTTTTTTGTTCAGAAAACAAAAAATTGTTCTCAAAACAGGTTGTCAATTAGGCCTTATGTTTTTTTCAGTAACTTGACCACTTAGTATAGGTTACTCGCTTTTTTTTTTTCAAAATTTTTTCCCCTCAAACTTGTTAAACCCTTGACCTATGTATGCACGGGTTGATTTCTTATTCAACTACCATCTCCTTTGAGAAATTCGGTGGGTTTAACATGTACAATAAGTTTGGTTTGATGCATAGCATTTTATATCATGTTTGGATTAATAGATTTAAAATATATATTTAAAATGATCATATTTAAAATTTTATATTCAAAATTCATGATTTAACATATATTTTGCTTGAATAGTGTAAAAAATTCAAGAAGATGAGTTGAAATTCAAAGCGAACACAAAATATTGAGAGTGATGATTTTATATCTATTCTTCAATCAACGAGGTCGAGTGCAAGAATGAGAGATGAAAGAAGGTAAGAATGAAAGAGAAAACAACAATATAAAAATGCAAAGAAAACAACAAATTAGAATAGTTGAAATTTCAAATAATTAGGATCTATAAAAAATAAAAGAATTTCAAATCCATATATATATATATATATATATTAAAATGAGGGATTTGTCCTAAATTCAAAGTCGAGATACAACATTAATAATGTTTTCCAAACTCTCCCAACAATTTCCAAATCAATTTTTTTTTCTTAATGTCACTACCAGAGCAGTCACAGCTTTTTCAACTTGTATCCAGCGATTTTTTTAAATGTTTAGTTTTCACCTGTTTTTTCGAATATGTAAAAGAGGTTCAAATGAAAACTAAAGTAAGAGTAAGTGAACAAATACCACTACAAAAATAACATATATGGATATGCCTACGAAAGTGCTTATGACAAAAGCGCTCTAAAAAAGTGGAGTAGAACATACCAGAGCCCTTATTTTCTAATATTCGTATACTATATCATTGTTGTGGTTGTTGTGTTTTTGTCTTAGTGATAACAAAAATATTTGACAATCATTATGTACTATATCATTATGTTTCTAATTTATTTGACAAATTATTTTTGTTATGAATTTCTTTTTACAGTGATAACACTATCAAATTTGTGGGTTTTATGAAATTAATTTTTCTAAATTTAATTAGAGGATATGGAGTGAGAAGAAGGGATTTTTATTTTTTTTTAAATACATATGGGAGGGCTTCACATCATAAGCGCTCCTGTAGATTACTCCAGACGGAGCAGTTACAAGCAAAAGCTCCCCTGAACATATGGGAGTGCAAGCTATGGGAGTACTCTCGTAGGCCTAAAATAAGAGCTGTCGTAAGCATTTTTTGTAATAGTGAGAGATATAAGGCATTATTATTCTAAGCAATTCGGCATAACAAGATAGGTAACTAACTCAAATCTCGCAAAAGTAAGTGAATACGAACGAATGAAGAGAAACAGGGCATAAATTAAACAAGTATGATATTTCTTATTTGTGTGAAAATTATGTAAAAGTACCTTAAAGATAGCCGTTTGCCGAGCACTATGAAAGAACGCCTCTTCGATGCTGCTATTACTTTGTCTTCCCCAGAAAAATTTGCTGCAGTAATTATTTGAGCAAGAGAAGGGAAAGTTAAATAAAAGACGTAGTGGATGTCCACAATAGGATGGGAAGAAGAAAGGTGGCTCATACAATTAAATATTGTACGCAATTATTGAATGCATGCAACTAATAAATGCCGTTTTTAAGAGAGAAGACGGCTTTATTTTAACGACAGTACGAATGCAGCAGTGAAATTGTTATAATACTAAATTTAAATTAACACATTGGTGTTAATACATAAGATTTCGAATTCAAGCCCGATTAAATATAAAAAATATTTGTAAAAGGGCTATCTTCAATCGGGCCAAACAAATAATGTTCAATATGCAATTAGATATCATGTTTATGCTTACATAAAAAAAAAAGGCCCAATTAAAAATTTTGTCATAAAAATATAGTTCTAGTAACTGATTTGTTGATTTATGATCTTAATATAGTAAACTATTTTATTTTAAGTAATAAATTGATTTAAAAAGTTAACCTGTGATATCATATCTAAAAGCTCTCACACAAATGCCTATACCTCCCTTACGTTCGAATTCAAACTGAATATAAAAAATATTTTTGAGAGAACTATTTTAAATCGGGCCAAACAAGTAGTGTTCAATCTGACTTAATAAACTTAGATATTATATATATACTTACATAAAAAAAGACCCAATTAAAAAAATTGTCACGAAAATATTTTTCTAGTAACTGATTTGTTGATTTATGATCTTAATTATTTTTTTTGAGCAAGATTTATGATCTTAATATAGTGAACTATTTATTGATTTGAAAAGTGTACCTGTGATATCATATCTAAAATTTCTCTCACAAACGCCTTTAGCTCCCTTACGTGTCGGTGTCAAGTAAATATGAAGGATTGTTGTATTTTTATTTGGTGTTAGCATGGGATGGACCCACTTTGTTAATTCTTTTCCCTGACCACATCAATTCACCAGCTGCTGCAGCTCTATACAAATCAGGTTCCATACTTGTGATTGTGAAAATTCTATAGCCATTTTGCATAGAAACAGGTTCCATTTAATTGACTTGGGAGGCTTCTAGCTAGCTTGTTGAACTAGTTCTTTTTACAACCAAATATGTTTGTCAGAGTATAACTACTTCTCTGTTCTCGCTTCCCCGAAATTCCCAGAAGGCAAGAGAATAAAAAGAAAGAAAGAACAAGTAGATTTATAGTACTTCCATGTGTTTTTTCGAAGAAAAGAAGTTCAAACGAGAACAGAAGTAAGAATTAGTAAATGGAACGGAGAGAAATAAGAGATTCTTCTAAGCAAATATCAACACTGAACACATGAAATTAACTCAAACCTTAAGAAAAGGAAGCAAGAAGACAATGATATTTTTTATTTGAGTTCATATTACCTATAAGTATCTTAAAGACAGCCGTTTGCTGAGCGCTATAAGAAAGAACAATCTTTGCTGCTACTTCCTCTCTGCTTCGACTTTCGAAAATTTTTTCGCAAGTAGCTTGAGAGAGGGATTGTTAAATGAAAGATCAAAGATTATATATAGGGTGAGTCCTGTCGTAAAATGAGTGTTACATGTCTGAGCAATTTTTGAATTCGAGCAACTGATAGATGTCCTTGAAGAGTTAGATTTCTGGAAAAATAGAGGGAAAAAGGAGGGGGGAATAGCCTTTAGAGAAGAAATAAGCGCACTGGTTAAAAAAAAACAGAGAGAAAAATAAAAATAGCCGTTAGAGAAAGAAAAAACTGCACTGGTGAAAAAAAAAAATAGGGAGGGAAATAAGCACATGTCCCGAAAAAATAGCTGCTAACAAAAGAAATAAGCGCATGCGCAACAAAAATAGTCATTCGAAAATATATAATTATCCTCATCCTATATTTTTTTTTAACTTGTTAAAGTCATAATAGATTGTTGTTAATTTAGAATGATTTATTTTTTATACACTTATTCCATTAGACTTGTGTTTTTAATTATCAGCATCAAATATTCATTCGAGTTTTGACGATAATTTATTCTAAATTAATAATACTCCATTCAGGTTTTAACAAGCTAAACAAGCATATAGGATGAGCATAATTATGTGTTAGTCTTTTATCAATAAGTATGCATTCAGGTTTTAACAATAATTCATTATAAATTAATAACAGTTCATTTTAAATTTAACAAACTCGAAAAGCAACAGTCTATTAGACTTGTGCTTTTAATCATCAACTACAAGTGTCTATTCAGATTTTGAAAACAATTCATCCTAAACTTTTAATAGTCCATTCGAGCTTTAATAAGTTAGAAAAACGGATAAGATGGACTTAATTGTATGTGATAGTCCTTCATTAATAAGTGTACATTCTGGTTTTCACAGCAATTTATTCAAAATTAATAACAATCTATTCTAGTTTTAATAAGTTAGAAAAATTGATAGAATGAGCTTAATTGTACGTGTTAGTTATTTATTAACACGCATCCATTTATGTTTTAACAACAACTTATTCGTGATTAAAAACAATACATTCAGACTTTTAATAAGTAAAATGTCTAAAGTTTTAAAGCTCTCAATTTATAAGTGTCCATATCAGATTAATAAATAACATTTGTAAAATAACAAGTTATGTTCAAAAATTAACAATACACCATTATATTATGACATGGAAGTGGTTAGAAGCTTAATTTATTATTCATATTTCTTTATGCTATATATAATTAAAGAGCTTGGTGGCCTCTAGTTTTTTAAGTGGCCAAGGGCAATGGGGTTAAACCCTCTTTTGGCCACCTAAACCAATTATTTTTTTAAAAAAAATGTCGTAAGCATTGGAGTTTCAGTGACCTGTTAGCAGCCAAGGCTCCGGCAGTGGTCCAACGGCCGGTGCCGAGGACAATTGGGGGTTTTTTTAGCAAGAGTGGCAATTTGGACTTTTAACTTTAAAAATTAATATTAAAAAAAGACTAAGAAACTGCAGTACAATTTTAAAGTTAATTAATTCTTAACTGATATTAATTTTTTTCAGCCATCCTTCAGTGCTATTTTCCAAACTTGAAAGTTGTCTCAAGCAATTTGATTTTTTTTTTTAATATAACACTGAAAATATATTACCAGAACACGAAAGAGCTTACAAGCGGCTAGCAATTATTGAATTTGAATGCATTTGCATCTCACACAGGTTAGAATTAGACAATGAAATTTTTTGGAAAATTAAATCAACGGGTCCCCATATTGTTGCCATTGTTTAAAATTACTTCATAATATATACTTCAAATTTTCAAGGCAACTCCCTCAAAATCCAAACTCTTTCCACTGTTAAATCCGTTGCTATTCGTCTATTTATTCATTAATCATATAAGATGGCTTTATTCCTTTGTCAATAACAACTGTGACTGTTGACAAATTCAATCAAAATTCTCCGTTATCCTATATATATATATATATATATGGAAATAAATCATTTTCAATTATTTCACATCATGAACTAATCAAAAGTTAGTTACCTAAATTGATCTTAAAATTGAATAAATTTTCTATCTTTACCTTTAAATTTAAATAACAGTAATTTAATACGTGAAAAGAATCTTTAAACTTGATGTTCTCAATTGCAGATCAACTTGACGATTTTTTTTCACTCCATTGTCTGAATCACCCAACCACCCAACAAAAAATGGGAGAGGAACCCATCTCCATTTTTTTTTTAATTATCCTTTTTCCTCCACTTTGCAATCTTAACCATTGTTATCATTATAAATTGATTAAAAAAATAAAGAGGTTCCAAATCCATAAAAAGACAACGTATAATTGAAGGGAAGGAAAAGAACAGTGAGATGAAGGGAATGTAAGAGCGAGCAAAAAAAAAAAAAAGTGGTTAATTGAAAATTGAATTTAAATTTAATATTTTTTTAATAGAAAGCAGATATTTATGTTAAAATGAAAATTGACATAAAACAAGGGTAAAGAGAAGAAAATAACCATAAAGTGGTCAGTCAGGAACACCCAGTATCCTAAAGTAAGGAAAATGGTGAAAATATCGATAACATTACACAAATGGATGAAAAGTGATCAAACCACTAACTTTGACCCAACGTCGTTAACTTTGATTGTTAAATGTTGACTATGCATGCTATATGTCAGTCATTGTTGACGTGAACTAATAAAGGGATAAAAATACCCACAAAGTCATCAACCATGAGCAAAAATACCTATAACATTACTAGAATTGGTTCAAAAATGATCAATCCATCAAATCCCTAAAATGTTTACTGTTTAGCTAATACCTAAGTAGAAGTTGATCATTTTTTCGCTGACATGAACTAAAAATGTTTTCAGATGAAATTCTTTGGAGGTTAATCAGTTATTGTATGAATATCATGTGAAAAATATCGTTTGGACCAAATATCAAATTAAATCGTTTATTTCTTTACAGCAATGGCAAAACCCATTTGAAAATTTTAAATCTATCATGAATGAAATTGTTTAAGGTTATGACAATATTTTTAAGGTAGGGTAGTGTAGGGGTCTGTTCAATCTCAATCTTTGATAGTGTACAACCTCACTCATTATGTTGAATCTCAGGTTTTGCAATAAAAAAAATGAGTGGAGATAGAAAGAAACCATGTGGTATGAATTTTGATGGATTAGTCACTATTGCACCTACTAAAGTAACCTTATGGGTACTCATAAGATGATTGATCAACATTCATAAAAATTTATCTAGGAATATGTTTTGTCTACATTAGCAAAAAAAAAAATTATCAATTTCTTCTTGGGTGTCAGCTAAACGATTAACATTTAAGGGATTTGATGAATTAGTTATTTTTGTACTAACTCTGATAATATTATGGGTATTTTTGCTCTTAACATATGGCATGCACTGTCAGCATTTAATGGTTAAAGTTAACGATGTTAAGTCAAAGTTAACCGTTTGATCACTTTTACACCCATTCATATAACGTTATGAGGCTTTATGTCATTTTATCACTTTAAGATATTAGATGTTCTTAATTAACATGTGAATATTTTTACCTCTTTATCCTAAAAATAATAGAGTACTAGTTAATGACAGGGCGCATTAGCACTGGAATATATGAGCTGGAAAGCGGAGGAAAAAAAGATATCTCCTGGTAGATGTGACTCAAATTTGAATTTGAATGGATAGATGCATGTGGATGGCCAAAAAAAAAACATTTTAACGTTTGTCACATGCATAAATGTGATTTTTTTTTTGGAGAATTAAATCAACGGTTCGGTCGCCATAGTTTTTCAATAATTTAAAATTACTCCATTATACTTTTTTTTTTGGCCGACAATTACCCCATGTAGACTTCAAAACTAGCAATTAGCAAAGTCCCTGTGCTCGCATGGTACAAAGGACAAAATTTAACTGACACATATTTGTAATATTTCCAGAGGTTCACTTTTGGGGGAATTATATATAAGCCCTACACAACAAAATTAATAAGTTCATTAACAATTGAATTAAAGTCATTAAGAACTTATTAATGATTTTATTTTAGTTGCTAATAAATATCGTACTAATTAATCTCTTTGTATAAAATTTCAACGTAATTCTCCCTTTACTTTTTTTATAGTTCATCACATATTTACCATGATTTTCTACTATTATGAAATGAGATGTTATTTCTATTTTGTAAGCAAGTAAGTATGATTCATAATTCTCAATTTATATATTTTGAAAAATTTCTTTATAAACAATTGTAGTATATGATCGTGGCTAGCTTCTTATCATTTTCACGGATTAAAATTTTCAAGTTATTAATAAACTTGACCCTTGACATTGCTACGTATAGTTAAAATTAATTAACAATAACTTATATCGTGGTTTGAAAGGGTGTAAGTATTTCAGAAAGTTTTGCCCAAAAAAAAAAGAGAATTTCAGAAAGTGGAAAATTATTTTTTTACTTAGAATTTATCTAATTTTTTTCCAAGATTATACCATATCCCTGTAGTTAGTTTTCCCTCTTTTAAGATTGGATCCTTCAACTCAATTTTTTAAAGCGACTCCCTACCCTTTACACTATATTAAATGATTAAATATGTTCCTCTATGGATTTAATGTTTTATTATTTTGTTAATAATTATTTAATTATTAGAAACATGAAAGTTGAGTGTATTTAAAAATGAGTATTAAAAGATTCAAAGCCACAATTTGAGGAAAAAAAAGCTGAAAGTGGAAAAAAACCAATTCAAAATAATTTAACTTCAATTCAACCACAAAGACCTTAATTTTTTTATATAATTTTCTTAAACTCATTCTCTTAGAGAGTCTTAAACATGATGCTCTTTATTGGGGATTAACTCCACGATTCTTTCGCCCAATGAGAGAAAGGGAAAAAGTAACAGCAAGTATAAAAGTAGAAAAAATAGTTGCGATTAAAAAAAAAGAGTAGAAAAAATAGTTACCAAAAGAAATTAGCTTAGGGAGAATTATATTAAAATCTCACATAAAAAAATTAATTACTATAAATGTCATAGACAACTGAACTAA